AGAGGCAGGACTCAGGGGTCTGAGTCCCTCGCTCCCATCAGGCCTTGGCCTCTTCTGGGCGTGTCTGCTGTTACACACTGTCCCTCCCTTCCTTTGTGGTCCCGCTGCAGGGTCCAAGCTGCCCACGCTGTCCATGCCCTCTGAGGGTGAACCAGCAGTGTCACCTGTCTCTGGTTTTTTGATTTGTTTAATTATAGATGAGTTTTCTGCATAATTTATTCCAAAAGCCTGGATTATACTGTACAATTAAATCACATTCTGATCAACAACTTCACATATAAAATTAACAACCAACAACAGTTTATGCCACTGCATCTGCGCCCGGGCTCTTTCTCTTTTTCCCCTGTCCCTTCCCTGCCCCCTCTCCTCCTCCGTGCCCTCCTCTCTCTTTCCCTGTCCTCAGGGTGAGCATTTTTAGCCGGTCTCAAGGCTGGATGGTCCCACCTGAGGTTGGACCTACAGACTCCCAGCATTCTAGATGGCTTCTGGATGGTTCTGTCTACTAAATGGCTTCTCAGCACCAGCTCTTCCCCTCACATATGGTTGATTTTCCTCTCTTGCCTAATGGTGACACCTTGCCCCGCCCCCCACTGGCATCTTGGCTTTAGAGACTGAGACCTGAGACCCTACAGTTCCTAGTGGTAGTTTCTTCCCTACTAGGCTGACTCAGTGTGCTGCACCCCACTCTCCCTTTGTGGTCTGTCCCCCCCTACCCTCAGTAGGTCTTTTGATCCTGAGGATAAAGGCCCTACTGTATGATTGTCTAGTCGCTAGGAGACTGTACAGCATGGTAGCAGCGTATCAAGGTGTCCCTGTGGATATGTTCTAGACTGGTCTTGAACTTTTGATTCTCTTGCTCCCACCTCCTGAGTTCTGCTACTGCAAGCGTGTGCCGTCACAGCTGGTTGACGTGGTACTAAGCAAGCACTCTACCAGCTGAGTTATGTCCCCCAGGTCCCCTGTTCCAGTATTCAGACAATTATTATTATCCTTGTTGACAGGTGGGAAAGCTGAGGTTCCAACAGGGACAGAACTCTCCAAGACTCCACAGCTGGCAGTCTCCCCTGAGGCTTCTCGGAGCTGTTCTGCAAGGAGGATGGACCTAACGGAGCCAACATCTTTTTAAGTGTATAACCGGGTACCCATCTTGCCAGGTGGCTTGGCTTTGCTATCTGTAAATCAGGGCTGCAACACCTTTGCTTCCCCCGTTCAGGCTTGTGAGAAGACAGGGCACAGTCTCCATCCTGTCCCCACAGCAGTCATAAAGTGCGGGGGGGCCCTGGCTGCACCACCTCCTCCTCTAGAGTTCTCTCCCTCACCGTCCTGCTAATTTGGCACTTACAGGCACTTAGAGATAAGCAGTGTCATTTCAGTGAAGAGGATGGAAAATCCCCAGGATCTGAGGATAGAGCAGGTAGACATCTTTGTTAGAATATGACCTGTGGGTAGCACTACCTGGCCAGGGGGCATTGGCATGGGCTCATGGGTCCAAGTCCACAGGAGCACGGGCAGGATTTGATCCATTTACCTTTGAGTGAGTGAGACTCTGGATTCTGACGCATCTCTCATTCTCCCAAAGTGCCCACGCCTTTCTGTGGGATTGAACCCAGGTATGCCTCTGTCAGGGTTGAGTTTGCTTTGGTGTGTGATTTTTCTAGGAATGCTGCAGGCATACTCACTTCATCAGCTTCTCAGTACTGTACATCCCCCCCCTCCCAGCTAGCACTGGCCACTGGCCAAACCCTCGAACCCACAAAGTCATATCTGTGTGACAATGAGATGGATTATCTGTCAAGTCCTTTTTAGCTCCAGGACACAGATATTGCCTTCCTAATTTGGTTTGTTTTAGGTGAAGAATCAGAATAACTTGTTTTCCTTAGCACTGTATTGATAGGCTGAAAGCTGGGGGCCTGCAGTTGGCCTGTGAAGCCTGGGATAGCAGACTAAGCCAGGCTGAGGACTAGAGCTGCTCCTAAACCCCAGAGAGAGGGAGGAAGGGAGAGACAAACAGAGACAGAAACAGAGATACAAAGACAGAGAGGGAGTGTATATGGATGTCCTATGGAAGAATTTTAATTTGTCCAAAGATTTGGGTTTTTCTAAAAATTATTTTAGTTTGAAATATAGCCTCTTCAATGGGTTTTTGATCCTACTGCACGCATGTACTGGCTTTGTGGGAGCCTAGGCAGTTTGGATGCTCACCTTACTAGACCTGAATGGAGGTGGGTGGTCCTTGGACTTTCCACAGGGCAGGGAACCCTGATTGCTCTTTGGACTGACAAGGGAGGGGGGACTTGATCGGGGGAGGGGGAGGGAAATGGGAGGCGGTGGCTGAGAGGAGGCAGAAATCTGAAAGAAAGGAAGAAAGAAAGAAAGAAAGAAAGGGAAAGAAATATAGCCTCTTTACATGAAATGATGGTGACTATACTAAAAATGTATTGTCTGAGCAAAGTAAAATCTTGCCATCCATGCCTAGTTTTCCAATTTAGTGCCTTTTACTTGTCTGTGAGATTCCAGAAGCAAGGGTCTATATGCATACTAGCAAAGAGGCCATACCTAGGTGGAATCATTGGTGAATTGGTAAATATTACCATCTATTAGCAACTGATAGCTTCTGGGGGAGGGAGAAGTGCTTTTCTTTAGCGGTATGATCCCAGGAAGTTTGATCACACTGCAGTGGATGGCCCCCACCTGTGGGTATGTGGGCAGCACATACGGAACTCAGTGGATTATTTACAAATACATGAAGAAGAGAAAAGAGGACCTAGGCGTGGTGGCACACAACTTTAATTCCAATCCTAGGAAAGCAGAAGCAGGTGAGTCGGGGCCAGCCTGGTCTACACAGAGAGCTGACTAAACCGACATAGAAATAACTGATCTATAAATAAATAATAAGCAAATAAATAGAAGTCATAAAGTTGGGAGGTAAGGATAGACCTGGAAAAAGGTGGAGGGGATAAATATGACCAGAATATGTTGTATGAAATTGTTGAAGCATTTTAAAATGCTTATCAGTTTGCTGCTGGGGGTGATAGTGTTGCTGTGATTTCTAGCATCTGCCCATTTCTGTGGTGTAAATGTTCCCGCTGTGGCTGGTTCAAGCACTAAAGGTGGTGTACTGAGTTGGAAGGAGACGCACATGGTTGACCCTTGAGGGTCGGTTCTTGCGATTCTGGCAAGTTCCGCAATAAGTCCTGTGTCCTCCCATTCCTGGATGATAGGTCACTAAACCCCCCGTTTTAACCCTCAACTTCCTCATCTGTGGCTTGGGGATTTTGTTTGCCTCTGAAGATTGAAGCCAGAAAGCACATGACACGGTGGTACTGTGTACTTAGTAGATAGTAGGTGCCCTTCTGTATATATATAACCTCAGGAAGGGTTATGACTGGTATCTTGTCCCCTAAACCAATGAAGGCTGAAGTCAGGTTTAGGGTCAGGGTAGAGCCAATGGATGTCTTCGAAGATCGGGTCCTTGACTCTGCCCATTCGGTCCAGATACAGGCCTGCCAGAGTGAGACTCTCTCCATTGTTAGCCCCCAGGTTCTGTAGTCAAAGGATCACAAAAGAGCCACCTGCTACGGTGTCCATGTGCCATCAGGGCCAGAGCCTCGGTGCTGGTGCGTGGGGGTCAGGCAGAGAGCAGTACTCTTCCCTCTGTGGCCTGGCCGCTGAGGCTTACAGCCTGGCCTCTGCCCAGACTCAAGGTTAGACTTTGCTCTATGGTGGGGAACAGAGATGGGGAGTCAGGCAATAGCTCAGCCCACAACAAGCTGAAGCTAATACCTCTTTCTTTTGATGTTGATTTTTTTTTCCATCACGGTCCTGACATTCAGCTTGGCAAATTGCAATTAGTGATCTGCCCGCCTCCTGCTCTGAGTTCCCATGCCAACCGACCCGGGCACACACAATGGCATGAGCCCAACCCCCTAGCACAGGCCTGAGAAGGAATGTGGGACAAGGAGCCAGAAGAGAGACCTGGCCCTAGATGACACCAGGGGATGTTATTGGCCCTGTGAAGGGTGTTGGGGGCCCTGAGAAGTTTCCTGACATTTCCCTACTCCATTGTGCTCTCTGAATCCTTGGCCTCTTACATCTCTGTGGTGGGTCCCTTATGGGCTGTCTTAGAAGAGCCTTGTCTACAGCTTGCTTAAATGGATGCAGGGCTGAGAATACAGGATGTTATGAACACCTGTTCATCTTGTCCACTCACGGAGAATATAGCATCCTTGGCTCACCTACTCTTATGTTTTTTTGTGCCATTCTAAGAGATGACCCCGAATTATCTCCACTTTCCAGAAGAGGAAACTGGGGGGGGGGGGTTAAATGATCATACGGTGGTACCAGCATACAGGCGGCCTGTTATGTAGGCTTGCAGTTCAGGGGTTCGCCAGACCTCCAGAAAGGAGTTGGATGATCTGTACTGGAGCCCTGGTTGGGCTCATGATTGATATCCAACCTTGGGTCTCTATAAGCTTCTCCGACAGGAAAGTAGGAAGACAAAGGCCTCTGAGTTGAAAGCTCTCTGTGTCTTCTGCTCAGATGAAGCCCAGGAAAGTGGGTTCCTCCACCACCTCCTGTTTACATGATGGATTGGGGATGACAGCAGGTCCCATCCCTTTCCTCAAACCTCAGCTGGCTTTCTCGGGTCTCTGACCTCCCTGGTGTCCAGAAGTCTCCATGTTCAGAACCGCTACATCAAGGACTGGTTTTTCTAGTGAACAATAGTCTCTCTGCAGGCTTCTTCCAAACTGCTGAACTCCCTCAGAGCATCCACAATGCCCTCTTCTCTCCTCCCTGGCTGCCAGTCAGTGTGAGGAAAGCCTAGGCCACCAGGCCAGACATCAAAGGGAAAAAAATCACAGGCTCACTCTGGCTCCTTGTGTATGCTCCTTCTCTGGTGAAAATTGAGTTGAGTGAGTAGCTGCCCCCGTTCCCCTGGGTGGCCAGGAATGGGCTGTTGCAGCTGCAGCTCCTGACATCTCTTTCTCTCCTGGATGCAGGATGCAGCACTGGGCCCGGCGCCTGGAGCAGGAGATTGATGGTGTAATGCGGATATTTGGAGGCGTGCAGCAGCTCCGAGAGGTAAGCTGGTGTACTTGCTTTTCATCCGGGACCTTCTTCCCAGCAGGAATGAGGAAATGAGGGAGCAATGAGGGGGTGAGGAGGAGGTGACATTGTTGAAGTCCTGGTATAGGGAGCCATAGTGGATCTCAAGTAGTGACTCAGTGAGGTCTCAGTCTGACCGTTTCCAGGAATCTGTTGGAATGGTGGCCCATTCTGATGAACCTCGTGCCTGGGAGGGTGTTGGGACTTGTCAGTTTTCAATGTGGGTGAGCTCTTCAAGGCATTTGAGGCAGTGCCTTGGGCGGGAGCCCAGGCTCTTTAGGGGCCACAGCTACAGGGTGTGCAGAAGCCGAGAGTCTCATCAGCAAGTAAATAGTATGGCCAAGCCAAGCAGGACCCAGAGAAGAGGGTGGGAGGCTGGTATTCCAGGCACTATAGTCTGTATGAAGTGGCAAGCCTACGTTAAGTGTCGGAATGAGGGATCAAGGTGCGGGAGGGGTGATTGATTAGGCGCCGGCGACCACATTTATCCTGGGAGATTATGTTAATGTTTGAAATAGTGATGTGAAGAGCTGGCCATCCGTCACCCCCAGAAGGCTGCAAAATGTGCTGCCGTCAGGCTACAGGCTTGAGCTCTCTGTGAGGAATGTGGAGGCTCTGGGAACGGAGCTCTTACAGCAGTGGGTGTGAGGCTCTAATAGGAGGGTGTCTCTTCAGTTTGGTCTGTACAGGGAGGTCCTGGCCAGAATCAAGCAGAGGAATAACGGGGCTCTCCTTCCCATCGTTGGCCCGGGGACAGCAGAGAAAACAGTTACTACTGGGAGTTGAGTCTAGGCCTAGGGTTCGGTAATTAGTGTTTCTGTCATCCCTCTTGGCCAGTGCCAGGGCTAGGAGATGTAGGCAGGGACTGTAGGATCATCCTCAGCCCCTTTTCAGGCTCAGTTAACTTGGAGTGAGTTTATTTACATTCTTATGGATGTAGGACCCGTGGCACAAATGATGTTAAGCAGAGGTGGCTAATGAGGGGGTGGCATGGTGAGGAGGGCATCCAGGTCTGAAGGTCTGAGCTGCTAGCTTGCTCAGCATTCTTCCCGAGATCGCCCAGGCCTGTAGAACTCCCTTTTCTGGTGCTGGGCTTGAACTGCAGTAGCCCCCATCCTACTCTTCCTGTGAACTCTCAATGACTCAGCTGCACTTGGAAGCCGCGAGAGCTTCCAGAGGAAGCACTATGGGAAAAGCTGTTCCGGAACGGGAGTCAATTTAGGCTCAGGAATAGCATTCTGCACTAACCAGGCTATAAGTGGGCACTGCCAAGTGCAACCGTGTAGGTTAACGGAGGAATGGTAGCCCCTGGAATCTGTAGCGCATGCTTTTCCAAGTTTTCTATGGGGCATTAGTACATCTGCGTATATCTAATGCCAGTTAAGAGCCCTCCAGGATTTCATATTTATGAGCGACTCAGAACGAACATTTATCTATGAAAATATAATGTGCGCTATATGTATGAGATGTGGATCTGTCTGGATGAGTGAGTTTCCTGGATGGTAAGGACCAGACATGGAATTTGACAGCAAACCTGTCATATGCACCTTGGGGAGACCTGGATCCCGCTGTTAGCCCTTTTTCACTGGGGGGGGGGGTTGCCTGGAAGATGAGGAGTAGGGTGGCAATGGACAAGCCAATTTTACCCTGCCCCCCTGTCCAGAAATCATTAGGATTTTCTTCATTTTCTCTCCTAGGAAATTTTCTCTCCCTTTGGGTGGCGTGTGGGTAATTCCAGGCCCTTTTACCAGTGGACAAGCTGCCACAGCTGGCTTGTGGCAGAGCTGGGGCTCTGCCTCCTGCTCTAGCCCAGCCTCTGGCTGTTTTTCTCCTCCTGGGCACACAGAGGATGCGTGCGGCTGTGGGAACCTGGGCAGGGCTGTGCTTCATATGGCAGGTGGGCAAGGAAATGCTGACCCAGTGTCCCTTGCTCTTGGCAGCCCCTCCACCGCCCCCGGCTGCCAGCTCTCGGAGGCTCTGTCCTAGTCCAGTTTTTCTCACCTGCTTCCTCAGCCTCTTCCTGCTGACAACTCTGCTACTTGCTTCTTGGCACTGACTATTTGGCTGCGATGTGTCCACGGGGGAGGGGACAGGTGTACGGGTCTAGCGGAAGGAGCTAGAATGATCTAGCCAGTGGACTCCCTACATGCTCCACTGTTCACATCTGACCCCGACCCTCACACCCTCTTCCTCCCTCCAATGCACGGGCAAGGACTGGTGTGCCCTCCTTGTGTTTGTCCTGGTGGGTCAGGATGGTTGGTGCAGAGCTGTGACCAGTGCTCTCATTGGCCCTCTCACTAATGCTGCCAACCTGCCAGCCTAGGCCCCCACTGGGGCGGCCCCTCCCCAGGCTTCTGAGCCTCTTTCATGGCTCCACTCCTTGCCTGCCCTACTCCTAGAGGCTGCCCCACCCCCAGTAGCTTGGAGCCTCAAGGGCTGGCAGCTGCAAGAGAGCAGAAACTGCAGACAGTGGCATTTGGGAGAGTTTTCCTTGCCTTGGCATTTTCCTCCTCCCGACCTTATCACAACCCCATGGGGCATGGCCGGGGGCAGACTGTGGCCCATTTATAAGTTAGAAACCATGGCAGACTGTGGCAAGGAAGCTGTGTGTGAAGACCCTGTCTCATCCCCAGGCCGGTACCTCGTCTGCTGCTAACATGTCATCTCTTCCTCTTTAGGTTAGCCAGATAGCCCTGAGCTACGCTTCCTTGGACACTATAGCCCAACCCCAGCCCTTGCCAATTTTTCCTTGTGTAGTCCATGAAAGTGTGGACCCTAAAATTCTGCCTCCTCTACAGCCCACGGGACTGAGGGAAGTCTCCTGATCCCCTTCTCTACCCTCCCCCATCAGCACCATATTGTCCCCATGCTAGGGGGAGAGTAGAGAACATATGCTTGGGCTCAGAGCTCATTTGCATAATGAGGATATCAAGATGAATAATTCATCAGTTGCTTGGGGGTGCAAGGGGAGGATGAGGAGAAGGGCAGATCCTCTCCTCTTCGAAGCCTAGGGCAGGTACATTCCCACTTCCGAATGGGTGGCAGGGTACGAAGAGAACAGCTCTGGGGACCTTGTGAAAAGCAAGGCAGGAGAGACTATCCTCAGGCGTGGGACAGTAATCGGGTATACCAGCCCTGGGATAGGTAAGATGCTCGCTTATAGGGGAGAGGACCTTCTGCTAAGAGTGGGAGGAAACTGTTGACAAGGCTGGCTGGAAGCAGGGACCTGAGATGCCGTGAGGATCACAGCCTATCTTCTGGAATCATATTGCCCATGTCAAACTCTATGGATCTCACTTGCTGGTCAGGCCGGAAATGCCTGTTGCCCTGGTTCTATCTTAAATGCCTCCTCCTTCATGACTGTCTTAGCCGACCTATGTGCCACTGGGTTTCCTCACAGACCTGCTGTGAAGGAGGGAAACCCAAGGTCCTGGTCAGTCATTTCCAACAGCCAGTCCCGGAGCTCAGACAGGCCAGCCATGAGCGGGTGTCCAGGCAATGGAACCGCACAGTCAGCACCTCCCCAAGCTATGTCCACAGAAGCAGGTTCAGAAATTCCCAGTCCCAATCTCTTCTGGGTCCCCCCAACTGACATCGTCCAGTCAAGGTGATTCGGGCCCATGGAGTCTGTGGCTCCTCAACCTTTTATGAGGACCAAAAATAGTATTTCTAAACCAGCACCACTGCCAGTCCTGTCCGTCTTTTCTTTCCCCCCGCTATTTCTCCTGCTCGTCAGCTCAGCACTCAGGAATGTGTACATAATATTTGCAGCATGCCACATCTGGAGCTGGCTATCAGCATGGACCAAAGTCCGGAAACATCTACCATTCTCTGTAGGTGCCTTTGAGAAATGTCTCTGTCCCACCACCTCCTCCCCAGCTCACCTCTGCAAACTTACACATTTGCTGAAAATGCTTCTGTTCCCGTTTGAGGAAAGTGTATGTTGGGCATCCAAGGCAAGGTTAACAGTGCCCTAAAGTGGCATGGAGCACCAGAACCATAGAGGGGCAGAAGAAGAGGCTTGGGTGAGGGGACGTGCCAGGGGTTGGAAGTGGTCCCAAAAGGACCAGGCAAAGGCAGCGGTTGTGACCCCTGGTCCACACACTGATTTGTGTGTGCCTTTGAAAGACAGGCAGCAAGCAGCTCTTTAGGGATGCAGTGCACTGAGTCTGCTAGGGGATGATGAGAGAACCCCACCAACTCCCTCCCAGATCCTTCTGGGCTTACTGCACCCCCGCCTCAGAACCGGCTTCTCTGCACTTGCTTATTACGCCGGCCCCACCCCTCCATCCAGCCGCCTCCCTCCTTTGGGGGCCCAGCGACACCCTCCTCTCCCCTGGTGCAGATGATGGTGATGCGGGGTGCCTTGTAGTGGGGGAGGTGGCAAGGGGCTCGGGTGTGAAATATGCCGCTGGGTAGGGATTGCTGTCGCTTGCCTCCCTAAAAACCCACATATATTATTCTTTAATGGAAAGTTAATTGTCTTATTATTCCCTCCATATGGTCCTCTTGCTTGGCACCCAGCGGGGATGCATGGGGCTGAGGGGGGGCTCCTGGGAGGGCGTCGGAAACGTGATGAGGCCGCCGCTTGAGCATAATTGGTTACAGAGAGGCGGGTGCAGCAGAGCCTGGCCGAGCCCTGTCTGGACCCCCTTTTTGTACCCTGTTCTCAGCCTAGCCTACTCCCTACCTTTTCCCTTTCCTTGCCTGTCTTTGAGTGACAACACACGTCCCCCACAGACAACACGACGTCTGGAGCGCGCTTTCCTGGGTGAGGTTACGCAGTGTTGGTGGGAGGTGGTTGCTGCTCTTCTGCTCTGCCCTGAGATACACACTCTCCAATGAGACTTGCTGGAGAAAATTTCCATTTTTTTGAGGAGTTTTTCTAAAAGCTGTTTTATCTATGGAAGGAACTGCTGCCTATGGGCCAGCCAGGCTAAGGTCTCCCACCTTTTCACACAGCACATCAGAGAGAC